AACACACACTTATATATGAATGAAGTTCATATATAAGGATACAGTTCAGGGGAAAGGCACAAGGCCCTAGGTTTGCTCTCTCACTTCATACATATCAATTTAAACATGTGTATATAGGGCCGGGTAATGGCAGCACACACCTTTAATCCCAGCACTCGGGAGGCAGAGGCAGGTGGATCTCTGTGAGTTCGAGGCCAGCCTGGTCTACAACAGCTAGTTCCAGGACAGCCTCCAAAGCCACAGAGAAACCCTGTCTTGAAAAACCAGAAAAGCAAAAAACATGTGTATATATGTTACTCATGTGTAAACATATACACACAAATAAAACAGTCACTAATTAAGTCACCATTTAGAGTTTTCAACTGGTAAAATAAAATGTGGAGTGGCAACTATGTTTAAAAGAAGACCAAGGGAGCTGGGCGGCGTTGATGGCGCACGCCTTTAATCCCAGCACTCGGGAGGCAGAGGCAGGAGGATCTCTGTGAGTAGACCAGCCTGGTCTCCAGAGCAAGTGCCAGGATAGACTCCAAAAGCTACACAAAGAAACGCTGTCTCGAAAAGCCAAAAAAAAAAAAAAAAAAAAAAAAAAAGAAAGAAAGAAAGAAAGAGTGGATCCTTTTCCTGCACATGTAAAATTGTATTTCACATTCATTACTGACACCAACACTGTTCTAAGAATAGTTGTTATAAATAAATCTGGTCTTATTAGCCATATAAACTTTCTTAGTTTGGTGGGGTTTTGTAGCTATGTAGCCCTGGATGGCTTCAAACTTACTGAGATCTGTTGGCCTCTGCCTCCTGAGTACTGGGATTAAATGTGTCCAAGACCACATCCAGCTGCAATTTAATGTTTCACTGAGTTAGATGGAGATTGTTTACATGTCACTGACATTTAAAAATTAAGTATCTGCCTGGTGGTGATGGCCCACGCCTTTGATCCCAGTACTCAAGGAGGCAGAGGCAGACAGATTTCTTAGAGTAAATATCTGAGAGTACATAGAACCACATTAATAAAATTGTATGCTTCCTAATTAAGGAACTAATAATCTAGTTTATGAACTTGTACCCCCTATAGTTATCTTCCATTTTTGAACCAGAGTTTTATTTTATTTTATTTTATTTTTTGGTTTTTTGAGACAGGGTTTCTCTGTGGCTTTGGAGGCTGACCTGGAACTAACTCTTGTAGACCAGGCTGGTTTCAACTCACAGAGATCCACCTGACTCCGTCTCCAGAGTGTTGGGACTAAAGGTGTGTGCCACCACCACCTGGCTTGAACCAGAGTTTTAAATTCTAGCTTGTGGTTTATTTATAAGCTTAAGAGACATTAATTTTTGCCGGGCAGTGGTGGCACACGCCTTTAATCCCAGCACTCTGGAAGCAGAGGCAGGCGGAGCTCTGTGAGTTCGAGACCAGCATGGTCTACAAGAGCTAGTTCCAGGACAGGCTCCAAAGCCACAGTGAAACCCTGTCTGGAAAAAAACAAAACAAAAAGACATTAAATTTGAGGGCTGCTCCACCACCTCCACTAACTGAGAATTACCAGACTGTACTAGTTCATTGATTTCCACAGATACTAATTCCTATTGGCTCATGACTCAGGAGTAAGATAAAATGCTTTTTAAAATGATTTCATCAGGGTGTGGTGGTGAATACCTTTAATCCCAGGAGGAAAAGGCTGGAGGATCTTAGCCTGATCTATATATTGAGCTCTAGGACAGCCGGGGCTAATTAGAGACTCTGTCTCAAGAAGAAAAAAAAAAAAAAAAAACAAAAACAAAACTAATCAACCAAAGGAATCATTTTATTAACAGGTTAAGTTATATTAGCCAAATAGGATAAACTTCATTTCTATGCTTTCAAGTTTCAGATGCACAGAAAGAAGACAGGGCCAACCATAGCTTTACTGCCAGAGTACTTGGTTTTGTAGAAACAGGGTCTCAGGTAGCCCAGATTAGCTTTAAATTCTTTATGTAGCCAAAGATGACACACACACACACACAACCTTTTTGGTTTTTTGAGACAAGGCATCTTTATTTAGCCTTGGCTGTCCTGGAAATAGCTCTGTACACCAGGATATTTGGAGCTGGGAGATCTGCCTGCCTCTGCCTCCCTGGTGCTAGGATTAAAGGTGTGTGCCACCACTGCCTGGCTGACTGAATTCTTGATCTTCTTGCCTGCATCTCCCAAGGGTTGTAATTATAGACCTGTATAAACACACCTATTAGGCACAATCTACACAGAATGGCCCGTGCAGAAAATAAATTCTATTTCTACCTAAAAGTTTCAAGAACATAACATGTTTTTAATTACAGAGAAAAATAGCAACAATTTTTTGTTTGTTTGTTTGAGATGGGGTCTGTCTGACTATACAGCCCAAGGCGGCCTGGACTTTACTATGTAGCCCTGGCTGGCTTTCAACTCTTGATACTTCTGCCTCAGTCTGCCAAGAGATAGGACTGCAAGTGTGTAGACAACTCAGTGTGTGTCTGAAAAAACGGGGAGAATCAAAGTGCATTAAAATTTAGCTGGATGTCCCTCTCATGGTTAACTAAGGGAAGTCCTTCCTGCAAGAGGCCTGTCTTTACAGTGAGTCTAGGGGAATCTTCCATGCAATTCTAGGGGTTACTCAAGGGTCACTAGTAAAGACGGTGAGAAGTGCACAAGGCCCACACTGCATGCCGTGCGGCACGGAGCGGTAGGGCAAGCCTGCGCCTCCCCAGGCCTTGCACCACCGGGTATGGAAGAGACAAAAGAAACGCTGGGGCCTCGCCCTTGCGGAACTTAAAAAGTCCGATCGGCAAGGCAGGGCTTGTAAAAAATTAAACTGCAATGAAGTGGAGGAAGAAAAAAACAAAACACAAAACAAAAAACCACCTCTGTCTAACAGCCGCTTATTTGTGCTCTGCGGAGCAGCAGCGGAAACTTGGCGGAGTCTTAAAGCGAGAGCCGGAGGGACAGACAAAAAAAAAGACAAACTAAGATGGAAGAAAGGAGGGTGTCCTCCAGCGGGAAATGCCAGATGAGGACGCAGGGCGGGTGCAGGGGAGCCTCCTCCGGGCCCA